CAGGAAGGAGCAATCAGCTAAGTGAGCTTAGTGCTTGGAAAAAATCTTTCATTCCTTTAGAGACAGCATGAAAAGTCAGCTGAGTACAAAACATAGAGAGGAAAACAAGAAGAAAAGGGACAAAACCTAGAACAGATAATGGATGTATATATAATGGATGTAAATAATTAACATTTCTCTATCTGTATAATCAAAAACATGACTGTTAGGTTAATTGGCTTCTCTAAAGTCCCGTTAGGTGAGAGTGTGTGTGTGAATGGTTGTTTGTCTCTGCGTTGCCCTGCGATGGACTGGCGACCTGTCCAGGGTAGACCCCGCCTTTCGCCCTTTGATAGCTGGAGATGACTCCAGCACGCCTCGCGACCCCACTTGGGATATGCGTGTTTGAAAATGGATGGATGGATGGGTATCTGTATAATGGGTCTGTTTTATGTGTCATCTTCTCAATTCAGAGAGCCCCCTGCCTCTCTTTGCCTAGGGCCCCAATTTCCTAAATCCACCTCTGCCCTTGGGGAGCAGTGGGCTGTCATGGTGCGGCCCCCAGGGAGCAGTGTGGGGTTTAAGGGTCTTAGCCCAGGCACCAAGGGTGGCAGTCCTTGGGAGTGGATTTCAAACTCACAACCTCAGGATTCCAAGCTCTATGCCCTAACCAATAGGCCACCACTCCCAAAAATTAATAAATGAATTGTACTTTATGGATCTCACAATGGAGAAATTGACTCTCTGCATCTAACCCATCCCCTTGGGGAGCAGTGTGGGGTTAAGGGTCTTGCTCAGAGACCCAGAGTGGCAGTCTGTGGGAGTGGGTATCGAACTCACAACCTCAGGATTCCAAACCTTAACCAATAGGCCGCCCCTTCCCAAGTAAAATAAAAGAAACATTTTATTCTTAGTTTTACATATAAAATATCAACATATTTATAGAGTTTTTGGGGAAAATATTATCAGCAGAACTTTGGGGTCTTACTGCCATCATGCGGCCGCAATCTGACCTGGAAACTTGTTGCGATTTAACCGCTGGCTGAAGCAGCTAGCAGCTAGCTACATTAGGAAGCCAGGCTAATTTGCGGCTACAGCAGATAAACTCTCGTTAGGTTCAGTCTCCAATGACACCCAGCGTCCAGAAATGCTCCCGGCTACTGCCTGATATCCGGTCGCTCAGATCTCCTAAGCCTTGTCTCCAGCCCACCGGGAGCTACCCTGATCCAGAAATCGCAGTAACTTCTCGGTGAGTTGCCATGCTAGCCCCCCTCATAGAGCTTTGGCTAATTCAGCCAAATAACTTTTTAACATGCGTGTTAAATAATAATATATCGGGTTTTCTTGCGTTGTACAACCCTTTATATGGCGTGCGAGTCGCGTTGAATGTTCAAAATAAAAGCTTTTTGTCTTTTACTGTTTTTTTTTTTTTTTTATTGAAGCTAAGTAAGTGTTAGCTGGTGTTAGCATGTAGCATTAGCTGGCTAACAATCCCGTCAGGTAAACTCAGGTAGCGGTGCTTTCAGTAAAGAAACTGGTTACTTTCCGGCTTCTGGGTGTTTGTTTTCTGTCTCTCAGTTTTAAAATAAAATATTAGTTAATATATTATAAGTAAATGTATAAAATACCGAGTTAAATTATAAAACGTTGGTAAAATGCTGTTTTCTGTTTTGCCATTTAAATTAAAAGACATTCAACTATCTTCATAAATTAAATGTTTACAGTTCAACTTCAAAACTAAATTATGTTATTTGGCACTATGTGAATCTGGTATTTTATATAAGTTATAGATATTAATTTGCATTATCTAAGCTTAAATACACGCTTAAAGGAAGAAATTTTTTTTAATAAGCTAATATCAGGAGATATCAACTCTAACAAGGCAGTCCTGTTTATATCCACAGATAAAATGGATGCTGATCGACAGAGGCGAAGAGAAGAGATCCAGAGGGCAATGAGCTTCATCCAGTAAGAAGCAATCAAATGTTTCATTCTTAGATTAAACATCAACTGAACCAAGATCCTGATATTCTGACTTTTCCATCCACCAGGTCATCATTGCCTTTCCCTGAGCCAGAGAGCTATGAGGTACAGCTCGATGCTCTATGCCGTCCGCCTTCACCTGACCTTGTTTTAAAATGTTATGCTATTTTTTGTTGTTGTCGTTCTTCTCTCTGTGCTTTCCTTATAGGCATTTCTGACCCAGTTGGTGTGCAACTTGCTCGACGAGGGAAATTCTTGCTTTCGTGACGGTGACTGGCGTCAGGCAGCTCAGCAGTACGGAGAGGGAGTCAGCGTCGCACGCTACGCGCAGGCCGAAGCCGTCATCATCCCGCATGAGCTGCTGGAGAGCCTCTATGTTAACAGGGCTGCTGCCTTTTACAAGATGGTGAGGGCGTATGTGAACCGATGGATGGATTGCCTCAAGAGACAGAGATGCTTAGGATGCTGTCACACCCTGCCGATATATCCAGCGTATGCCCGGCATCTCAGAATCTTCTAAAACTTTCTATGAATTTTTTCAATTTTGGGCGTATACAGAGAGTATTCATAACGAGTCCAGGACTTAGGTCCATCCACAGCCTAACTTATGCGTCATGCACGGCAGCCTGCATAAAAAGATGTCTTTGATCGCGGCATTAACCTAGCTGCCCTTTACCGCCCACCCCAAAAAAAGGGTAAAAAAAAAAATAAAAATTATATTTTGAGCATCCTCAAAGTTTCCCAACGTATCTGCCGTATGTCGACGTGTACCAGCGTGTTTCAACGTGCTCATAACTTATACAAAACATACCCATAACTTATCCAACGTATGCCAGCGTTTTCGCCAGAGTTTTCGTACGTCAGGCATAAGCTGGTCTAAATTGTCAAGGTGTGACAGGTGGCTTTAACTGCACATTTTTATCTGATTTTTTTTTTCTTGTTTTAAATAAAAAAAACGTAACGGTTGATGTGCTTTTTTTTTCTTCTCAGAGGGAGTATGAACGTGGCATTCAGGACTGTGAGAGCGCACTGTGTGTGTCGGAGGGCAGCCGCAGGGCTCTGTACCGAAAGGCCCTCTGCCTGAGGGAGCTGGGAAGACTCAGGGAGGCTTATGAGAGTGGAACCAAATGTCTCCTAACAGCGCCACACGTATGTCTCTGTACCTTATTCACATTTTGTCAGGCAGTGACCCAAAATATAACTTTTTTATAACATTTTATTGATTTAATCTCAGTGTAATAAGTCATCTCCATTGTTTTGTTTTTTTTCCCTATTCAAATAGAATTCAAGAGCTGCAGTTGATACTGAAATCCTAAATAAATGTATTTTGGTACCTGTTGAAAGCAGTGACATGGATTTTAAACGGTCTCTTTATTTCTGCTTTCACAGGATGTTCTGGTCATCGACCTGGCCCAGGATCTGGCCAACAAGCTGGGATTGAAGGGCCGTAAAGCCTACGTCAGCCCGCAGACCGAGTCCACATCTACGGAGGGCGAGAGTCACGGGGAAACGTCCCCGCCCACTGGAGAAGTAGGTGCAGCTTGGTTTAAAAGAAGTTCCCCCTGAAGGGACTGAAAGCTGATCATTTCCCCCTCTCCTCAGATGTCCTCCAATGGGCTGGAGTCCCTGGGTGACATTGGACCAGGTATGACAAACTCACCTTTTCTATAGCTAAATTTGAATGCATGGGCTGCATCTTCCAAGGACGCCGTCTACCTGGACTGGGTCCTTAGAAGTCCGTGAAAATAAGGAGAGCGTAAGAGTTTTGGCTGTGAGTTCAAACAGGTTCAAGCCGTCTCCAGCTTTCACCGCCGTGCGCTGTGTCGCTTAGCAACTGTGACAGATTATACACAAAGCAGGAAAAGAATGAATACTGAAATTTTCACGTTTTCTTTTACATTTTTTTTCTTTTTATTTATGTAAAGTGAACAAAACTACACTTATGAGAATACAGAGTGGAATAAAGATGAAAACCATCGGGAGCATGAAAAAATAAAAGCAAAGGGGTACAAAGATATAACTAAATCTAAACAATTCATGTATAAAAAATATATCTGCAAAATCTCTTATATTCAGCAACAAGAAATACCTCACACAACGAGGAATCTTGGAATCCGACCAGACCTCAGCGCCGTGCTATGACGTAATCGTCCTACGAATCTGGCCTTTGGATGACGCAGCCCATGAATTTGAATTCAGCCATTTTCCTGCTCCTGACGTTCTCCTCACCTTCTGCTCTCTTCACCAAACTCAGCGGACCTGACGGACGCACAGTGCATCCCCGCCCCCTTGGCCACGCCCATCCCAGTCAGCGATGACCCAGCCATCACGGTGGTGACCTCGTGCACCGAGCTCTCGGAGAGCCCCAGCAGCCAGACCCTGCCTCCCATGCCGTACTCCGTCCCGGTGTCGGAGCACATAGACGAATGCAGCACCAGCGTCATTAAGGACGGCTTGGAGAACCTTTTGGACTGTATGCCCAAGAAAGTTAGTGAGGTAAGAAACTCAAAGAAAGATCATTTTCTAGCCCAGATATAAGTATGAAAACAGAAGAATCTTAGAGATCCCTCGTGGCTGTTTGCTGAGCGATGACATCATCAGCGGTTGTATTCATCTCTGTTTGCTAGAGCCCGGTTCAAGGTGCCATCCCCACCAACCTCCCCAACACAGCTGTCGGCCTTCGGCCTCCTTACTCGCCGGGCCTTCCAGCGCCGTCGCCCCAGCTTCCCCCAGCCTTCTTCAGCTCCTCCATCAGCGACATGCCCCCCCTGGAGAATTACACGTCGCTGCGGGACCAGGCCTCCACCCAAGCGCAGGACGCACTAGGAAGCTTTTCTGCAGGGGCCTCAGACGGAGAAGGAAAGGGAGTCACTGCTGGTGGGCTCGACTCGTTGTCTGAATACACTCTTCCTGGTGAGCCATGTGTCTCAGTTTCATTCTAAGTAGATTTCATCTTTGATTTGGACTTTTTTCTTTCATTAGATCTCACTAAACTTTAAAATAATCATCATTGCTGCCAATAATGGTCTGTTTTATGGTTTTGTGCTGCTAATTAGCTTGTAGAGCTACTGGTCCTTTTAGCTCTATGGCTAACAGCTAACAGCTGACTTTTGTTCTATGTGAAACATCTCAAGCTCATCTAGATTGGATGAGTTTTCAAGTCTCGTCTTTTAGGTCAGGACTTGGACTAGGCCATTCTGACAAGCTGGTATGCCTTAAATGAGACTTATAATTAGAGATGGTTAAAAACAGGGTTTTAGGGCTGATACTGATTATATATGTGCTGCCGATTATTTAGGCCAACATTGCTTTTTCTTCCACTGTTTACACAGTAAAAAAAAAAACAGAATAATGATAAACGTTACTCAACTCTCAATCTAAACAAAAGGAAAATATTTTTAATAAATCAAACAAAAATATTAATAGTGCAGACAGACAGAGCAATGCCTGTGCTTCACGTTATCACAAGGCATAGCTGCTGAACACACTAAAGAATCAGTGAATAAGAGGCTTAAAGAAGCAAAAACCCACTAATATCAGCGGGCCGCTGTATCTCTAGCTCTGATCTAAACCACAGTGGTTGTGTGGTTGCAAGATGAGCCTCGGTCCCGGTCTCGGGCCCTTTCTACGGTTCAGCAGGGTTTCCTTCTGCCCTCACATATAATATGGTGATGAGAAACTCAGATTATTTCATTCTAAATCAGATTTATACTTTTTTTTTTTTTTTTTCCTTTAGTTTTACAAAACCAAACAAAAAACAATAGGGGAAAAAAACATGCTTTTCTAACAATCATCTCTTTATGTAGTTGGTCTGAAATCAGAGATCAGCTAAATACAGGCTGTCTAGCATAACTCTAAAAATAATTTGCAGTTCCTCCAACTGTAAATAATGTAAATAATGGCTAGTGGTGTTAAAAACTAGATCAACTATGAGTTTATCATAGGACAAAAAGAGTTGATGCCACTCTGACTGTAAAAGCACATGGACTGGTGGGGAAAAAGTCTAGATTTACGAATAATTAACCAATAATTTACATTCCATTGTTTTTTCAAATATGATTATTACATTTTTCATCCACATTTCTGTTTTTTAGAGTTTTGGTTTTCTTTTATTTAGCATTTTACAGATCACCTTCTCTTTACCTCAAGCTTTAGGTTGATGCTAACTTCTGAGCAGACCAATAGAAATGCATCTTTGCTCCTCACGCCAGAGGAAAGCCCGCCCCCAGAAGTGAAAGGGATGTGATCTGGCAAACAAATTTAAGAAAAATTCAATATTAAAAATAATTTTTAAAAAATTTCTGGATTTAACTTTTTTTTTTTCTCCAAATTATAATTAACAAAATGTTTTCTTTGCTTGCAACAATAGTGGAACAAAACTCACTACACAGTTTGAGTGCTAAAATTGAGTTATTCCAGCATGATGCTGCCATCACCTTGTTTTTGCAGTATTAGCCTTTCTCCATCTGCAGCGTTTTGCTTATTGGCTGATCAGTCTGAGAATGACCTCATCTGACTGGATCGTTTCCTTTCTTCATTCCACACTAACATTTTTTTTAGGGATGCGTCGAAAATTCAGCCACTGGGAAATTTCAGCTGTAAATGACTATAAATTTACAAAAAAGTTAAAAGAAAACAATCCACTGGACTTTGTTTCCAAGTTTGAAGACGTTTCTCTTCCCATCCAGGAAGCTTTCATAATTTAAAATGTCAGAAATGGCGTTAAATTTGAGGCTTTATAAAGCCTCGAGGGAAGCGAAACGTCTTCAAACTTGTAAACGTTGCATATTAATCTCACTGCGCACTCAGGTCATGGGCACAAAATGCCAGAGAAATCCAAACGTCCGCATCACCATTCAGAATATAAGGAGAATCCGACACGGAAAAGGAAAGTGACACAGAACATGTCCGCTACGTCTGCGGCGGACATGTATGAGGAGGCAGGAAGGTTTCCAAGGGATTCTGCTGAGGTAAAGGGCATAACAAATAAAAGAGTATTTAAAAAGAGTTTTTAAATAAGGTTATTACACATCTTAGCCAAAAAAAATATAAAAAATTATTATTTTTTATTTATTTATTTTTTTACAGCACTAGTGACAGTAGGAAAGGGGGTATGAGAGAGGGGAAGAGACATGCGGCTAAAGACCCAAGGTCTGATTTGATCCCGGGTCGGCTGCGTTGAGTACTAAAGGGCAGATTAGACTTCTGTAACCGCACACATCAAATGTCGCTTGGGTCTGGACAAGAACCAGTTTTGCTGGTATGCTTCTGCACCATCGTTCTGGTATTTCTAGAGACGCGCAGCAGTTTCCCGCCAAAACGCAAGGGGAAGCCTATTTGAGAACTCGCAAGAACTTTGCAGATTGTACTTACGAACCTCCTCCATTAACATTTCGTCGTAGTTGTCCATTGTTGTTCCTTGGTTTTTGACAAGAACACAGAGACAGATTCGACGGTTGCAGAGGCTATGGATCAGAAGTATAAATTTGGCCTTAACATCATTTTTGGTGCATCCCAAATTTTATTGTAACTTTATGGCTGTATTGTGTAAAAGTTTAAGTGATAATTCACAGGACTGCAGAGGCTTTGGCTTCTTTCCAGCGGTGTATGTTTTTTTTTGGAACAGTATATAATATCAGCTGGAGATCAGAGGCGAGTCGGCATTAGTGCAACTTAGTGTCTGACGTCAGTGTCCTCATTTCTATGCCTTCAGGGGGACGAGTGTGTCACAGTTTCATCCCTGGAATGCGCAACCACAGTGCTGGGCACACGGTGAGTAAAAACATTTGATTTCATAACATCTTGATTTATTTATGGCGTAAATGTGAAAAAAAGTTTGTAACTTGTTAAAGTACTTCCATCCTGTCCGATTTGTCAACAAGTTTAAATACAGTTGGCAGTTTTTTAGCTTCTCCATTATTTTATTTCAGTATAGATAAATTTAACCATGTATGGATTCTGGAAATCAAGGTTATTTGAACATAACAGTATTGATGTTTTATATTTATTTTGGTTCTCAGGAGGAATCGGTGTACATAGAATGCTTTCATATTGTTTTAAATAATAAACATCTAATTAGACCAGAAAAAGTCTGTGGCTTTACAAGTTACTCCATTTTCTGGAGAGATGTTTGCAAAAATAGATTTTCAAGAAATTTTAACTTAGAAATAGACCAAAGCATCAGCTTGTCCATAATTTTTGGCCACAAATTTGTTTTTTTTTTAATTCTTTAGTTTGCCAATCAGTGCCATCATAACTCATCAGTACATTTAGCAGCAACGCCTTAAGATTACTTACATTTTATTCTAAACTTTTTCATCATTTCTCTTTTTGGTTGGCAACGCTTTTTTTACTGTACATCAATAACTATGTAATAACATGATATTCACATAGCAAGTCACACTATATTACTTGCTAACAAGAAAAACTATTTAATTACCCCAAGATTAATTAATCAATTAATCTCAGGTAAGCATTACATTTGTATGTAACTATGAAACAATGGAGACTTTTGGTGGGTTACCACATAACATTTTCTGTTATTGGCCACCACCTTCCAATGGCTTACAAAGTAAATTGTAACTCGTGATCACGCAAATAAAGCATTATGAAACTAAACAAATAAATAAGAGTTTAAAGGTATATTAGAGGATTTTCATGAATTTTTGAAAAGATAGCCCTCTCCACTTTAAAATAAAATGCACATGCACAACCCTGTACCTCCTATCGAGAGGAAACACCTATTAAAGGCGTTTGAGAGCGTGTACGATCCCATTTCTCCTTGTGCACGTACTGTTTTAAAGTTGCTGTCCACATCGCTCATACAGGCTTACTCGCTTGTTGGGCGTGCAGGTGGCACCCACGTACGGAGGCCTTAGTCCTTGACGCAGGCGACACGGGTTCGAATCTGGCCTGTGGTCCTTTGCCGTATGTCTCTCCCCCTCTCTCATACCCCCTTTCCTGTCAGCTTACTGTCAAAAGAACGGGCCACTAGTGCAGTGAAACCTTAAAAGAAAAAGATTGGCTTACTGTATTCTAGGTTTATTTTTCTTTTATATGCCAAGTAAAAAAACAGCATTTTACTAGATAATAAAACATTAATTTATTGCTGTCAGTGAAATGACAGCATGAAGCGGTTATTTCCTTGTTATTACATGATTATTATTGTATTGTAAAAGAAAGCGCTACCATTTGGTTTGTAGTTGTGATAATTTTTTTCTTACTACCCTTCACTCTTCTTCGGTCCCTTTCTCCTTCAGAACGGACCAGGAGGAACCAACCTCTCTCTGCTCTCCAGGAATCCTCTGGCAGCCACTCACGAGTTTCGCCAGGCTTGTCACGCCTGCTACAGCCGAATAGGTAGGATACGTGGATATTCACTTCAGTTCAATCCAGTTATACTTTATCAAACCCGGAAGGGAATTTCAATAATATCAGTCGCCTTTCCGTTTTTTTTTTTTTTTTTCTAAGTTCAAATTTTAATATTCTTAGTTGTATGAGAATTGTCGAGACAAACTGGAAACATTAATCATTTTAGTTTAAAAAGTTTAGAATCGGACTGTTTTAAATGGAATGGCGAAAGGTTTTTAATTTATTATATTAAAGGGGAACGCCGTTTTTTTACACTGGCCCCTTGATTTTATGTCTTTACATCATGTTCTACTCACCCATATGAGTTTTGTGTCATTTGGAGCCGTTCTGAAGATATTCTGTTAGGTTATATCCAGTAACGTCTTCCTATGAGCAACGACTTAAAGGCACAAACTAAACTGTTCATAATTTATTCTTTATGGTACGCCAGTATTCATAACATGTAGGCCAATCACTGTCCCCCAGACATCCACGTTTATATTATTTATATTATTATGTTTTAAAAACAAAGCGGCGCGTGTATGACATATATAAACCGGCATTCCCCTTTAAAGAGATGCTTAAAAAACAAACTCATATTTATTATTAGCTCAGATAGAATCAGATGAAGGTTGTCTTAGGTGGATTTCTTTATCTAAAACTCTCCACAGGTCCTCGAGTGATGGACTACAAGTACCAGCCAGAGGCAGCTCACCGCTGCAAGAGAGATGTCCTGTTATGTCGTCTCAAAAACACAGATGATCCCACCTGGAAGAGGATTCGCCCCAGGCCCGCGCGGAATAACTTCCTGGGAGCCTTTGTGCTTTGTAAAGGTATCTAAAATGTGTTAGAGGCTGGAAAGCTCAATGGTAGAGAACGACTGGAATCCAGATTTGAACCTTTTCTGGGTCCCACAGAGGTGCAGGAGCGCCAGGAGTGCCAGTACGGGGAGAACTGTACGTTCGCTTACTGCCAGGAGGAGATCGACGTGTGGACGCAGGAGAGGAAGGGGGCGCTGAGCCGAGAGCTTCTGTTCGACCCTCTGGGCAGCACCGAGCGGCGGGCGCTCAGCGTCACCAGGCTGCTGCAGCTCCACATGGGCATGTTCATGTTCCTCTGTGAGGTGAGGCTCAGCATGGTGCTTTGCTCTTCCCTTTTCAGACGGTTCTTTTTAAACCGTCAGTCTCTCCTTTTTTTTTTCGTGCAGGAATGTTTCGACAGTAAGCCTCGGATCATCAGCAAACGCAGCAAAGAGAATCTAGCAGTCTGCTCAAACCTCACAGCACGGCACCCATTCGATGATAACAAGTGAGACAAATTCTGTATCGGTCCTCAGGGCCTTCTGGAAGCTTCTACTAATGAAAATTAGCTGTGGATCTTCATGGTCTGATGGCTTGGTTCTGAATGTCACCTCCAGGTGCCTGGTCCATGTGGTGCGCTCGGCTAACGTGCGATACAGCAAGGTACGGCCCCTGCACCCCCTCTGCCAGTTCGACATCTGTCGGCATGAGGTTCGCTACGGCTGCCAGCGGGAGGACAGCTGCTCCTTTGCTCACTCTGTGATCGAGCTCAAATGCTGGGTTCTGCAGCAGGACACTGGTATGTTTAACCGCCGCTCATCTATCCTGGGAACTCCGTATTCACGTTGGGAATAAAACTGTTGCACAAACTGTTTAAATGAAAAATGGTGAAGTTTGGAAATTTTTTTATAGATGTGGCTGAACTTAGAAGAAATTATGGAAAGATATTTGTACTTATATTCGTTTATATAACTTATATTCTTATATATAAAGTGTCCTTTTTTCCCTTTTTTCCCCTAATGTATTCTTTCAGGAATCACCCATGAAGAAATGGTCCAGGAGTCCAAGAGACACTGGCAAAGGCTGGAGCAGAACTCTCAAAAACAACACAAGGTACAGCTGGTGGTCTGAAAAAGAGAGAGGATGAAATCCTTTTTAGGGCAAAAAGAATTCATCTGAATAACAAATTATCGAAATAGTTAAGTCACTATGTTTTTTATTTTTTAAAAATTGAATAATTAAATGTATACCACCTCTAAAACCGACCATTTGCTGCATGAAAAACCCATTCAGACCGGAAATAAAGCCCAAAGGTCTAAAGAATAAAATAAGATGGAAAAAATTCATTGCTTTTTCCTCAAATCCAACAATTTTTGTTTAGTTTGTTCGTTTGGTTTAAGTTAAGTCAAATTGTTTTATTAGGCATCTGTTGTTCAGATAGATTATCAAAATAATCCTCAATTATAGCCCTTAGTTTTTTCCCCAGGTCTAAATAAGTGGGGAAAAAAACAGTTATGGTTTTTTTTTAAGTTTGGTTAAAAAGAAACAAGCCTTTTAATGCTCCATACATCAGTTTCCCAACCTTTTTTTTTTTTTTGACTTGTGTTCCCCCATGGGCAGTCAAAATTACTGATGATTGTTCAAAGGTGGAATGTACAATAACTGACATAAAGACTATTTAACTAAATCTTTCAATTTGAACATTTAATTTTTAAAATGTTATGCTTTCCAACTCAAATAAAAAAAAAACAACATAAGGATGTTGCCTGGATGTTAGTAATCGAAATAAATACAAAATAAAATCATATTATAAACCTGGATTAATAATACTGTATTGGTAATACAGTAACTCCCTTTTATTAAAATTTAAACTGGATTAATTGGGGGAAAAAATGATAGCCAGAGTGCCAGACTGACTTAATTAGTTTTATTTTGTTTGCATTGAGTCACAGCAGAAGGTGAATTCGGAACATATCAGAGAAATGTACTTTTTGGTTGATAAAAGCTTGTTTAATTTTTCAGTTGAGTCCTCAGAAAGCAAAACAGATCCCAGCCCTATTTCATTTTACAACCTAAGAAATGAAATATTTTCATGTAGCCTTTGCAATGCACTCGTGGACCACTAGGGGTACACGTACCTCAAGTTGGGAAACACTGCCATTTACGACAATGTTGAAACATCAAGTTAAGTTGAAAAAATAGTGCAACTTGAAACCACAAAGGGTGCTAACCTTGTACAACCCCTGGCAAAAATGATGGAATCACCGGCCCTGGCAGATGTTGTAGAAAAAAAGCTGATCACAGACATGAGATATGCTGGTGAAGATTCTCAGTCATCCAGGTCATGGTCATTCCAAAAACGTTGAAAAACAATCTACTGGACCTTTTTTTTCCAAGTGTGAAGACAATTCGCTTCCCATCAAGGAAGCTTTTTCAATTCAAAATGTCAGCTGACATAAAAATAAAGTCATTCCTAATGGCAACTGCCTGGTTATAAGAAACGCTAAAAGAAATCTAGAAAAACAATGTGGTAGTCAGTAATGGTTAATTTTTTAGACCAAGCAAAGGTAAAACAATATGGAATCAATAAATTCTGAGAAAAAAAAAGGGAATCATGTAAAACTTAAGAATACTGAAACACTTAGACCCTGACTTTATTGAAACTAGCAGATAATAAAACCCGATGAGTGTCTAAGCAGTTAATGGTTTACATTTTCAGCTCTAATCTCAGGAATGTTCTAAATTATGGAATGAAAACGGAGCCTAGAAAAGCTGGAAGTTTTTAAAATGAAATGACTAGAAATCTAATCTGTCTCTTTCAGCCCATCCACATCCCCCATCAGAGCAACAGCATGCCGGCGGGGGGGATGGGGGTCCTTGGTGGTGGAGAAGGAGTGGGAGCGGGAGGAGTGGGTCCATTAGGGGGTGTTGGTGTGGGGGGGCTGGTCGGAGGGCCAGGAAGGGGGCGCCCCCTCAACCTAAAGATGAAGTTTGTCTGTGGTCAGTGCTGGCGGGAAGGACAGGTCAACGAGCCCGATAAGAACCTCAAGTACTGCACCGCCAAAGCTCGGCACAGGTACGGCTGCTCTCACGCCATCCAACCGGTTCTAACCGGTCTTTCTGTTCAAGCTAAAGAGCTTCCACATTATTGACCTTGAAATGCCTTTGTCCTTCTGCAGCTGGACGAAGGAACGCAGAGTCCTCCTGGTGAAATCATTTGAGAAGAAGAAGTGGGTGGTTGTCCGACCTCTGCCCTTTTCACGCTCCTACCCACAGCAATACGACGTGAGTTCATTTTCAGAGCTGTGTGCGTCTGTGCTGTTCTTTGATTCAGTTTACAAGGGCTGTGGTTTCGTTATATATTTATATATGTAATATTTATTATTATAAATTATGAAAATTTGAGAAAAAGTAAGGATTTTTTAATCTACATCTACTCATTAATAAAATTAAGGGGTAATCTTTTAGTGAAACCAATAGTCTTATTTTAGTGGAAATAGGTTCTATACGTTAGCTTAAATCTAAAACATGCAAAAAAACTTTTTTGTTGGCCTAGAAACACATTTTTAGATAAAAAAAAAAAAAAGATAATAATAATAATAAAATGCAATCCTGAAATTAAACCTTGAAAAACTTTTCTCTGATTCTGTTGTATAAGTTATTGATTTAAAAAAAATAATAATTTAAGTTATTTATTTTTCATCATTGTAGTTATCTTTTTTAGTATTCAGTTTTTTTTAGATATTTTTTGAAAACATTTTTTTTTTTGTTGAGTTTTACAGAATGTATTCTTATCAAATTAAGTTTAATGGATCACTGGAGGAACGATGATGAAGTTCTATTCATGGACTTTAGCAACAAAATTATTCAATTGTTGTTATCTGTGAAATGTGATTTGAAAACAATGCAGTTCATAAAACTTCTGAATTTGAATAATGAAGTGTACAGAATTTAAACAAAAGATTTGAAAATATATAAAAGTTAAAAGAAAAGAAGATTTTTTTTTGTTTGTTTTAAAATAAAATAAAATAAAAAGTGATTGAAAGTGTTATTTGTGGATTGCATTTTTTTATTTCCATTTAAAAAATGATTTTTTTCAAAGTGTCATTTACAAAGTCTTCTTAACCCTCTTTCTCTCTGAAAATAGGGGATTAATGCGAGTCTTTCAAACATGTATCGACCTGCCAACAATCTGCATTTCGCTCCCTTCCCACCGGCTTAAAAAGCTGTTCTAACCCCTCGCTGGCAGCTGCGTGACATCATCACTTTAGGTTAGCGTTGATGATGTCATCAGTGTGACAGAAATCAGGAAAGTAAACAATGGAGAGCAACATGTAAAGGAAGCCAGGGCGTCATCAGTGAGCTTTAATGTTTCTCTCCATTATCTGTCCGAATCTGCTCCGTGTTTCTTGAACATAAACAGAGGTGTTTCGGCTTGTTAAATCGGAAGCGACTGGCGTGCTGTGTTAAAGTCCATACGTTGCATTCAATGGTCTCACGTAATTTAGCGGGTCAACCCAGCTCTGGTGTTCCCACAGCATGCCCATCAGAGCTGAGGTTTGATTTTAACGCGAGTCGCGTAGCATGCGCCAGTAAGCTGATCCCACTGCCGCTAAAAGCCCATTGTTCCCAGGTTTAAACAGGTTTTTCAGCCAGTGGGAAAGAGGTATTTCCTTACAATAATAATGAAACAGATTTCACTCCTAATGGTCCTTCTTTAGGGTTAAATTAGAAAGAAAAACCCATGATTATTAAAAGATGGAAGCTTTGGGTTTTAATACACATTTTTCATTTTGAGGAGATTTCCGTCTCTCTCTGTAAGCCTTTGCTTTAATTGAAAAACAAAATCTCTTAAAAACGTTGAATCTCTGCTTCATCAGCCTGTGGTGGCAGAACACAGCAGGGGGCACACAGATTCAGTCTAAGGGGGCTGTAAAAGGCCCCATGGCCACATTTTGGACACTCCTGTGGTAGATGTGATTTCCTGTTGGTTCACTGAGCTGTTCTATCTGCTGACCTTAATGTTCACATAAATAAACTCTTATTATAGGTATGTTTACATGTTACACTTGTTATATTGATGTAAAAATGTTTTATGTTTCTCTAAATATGTGAAATATCACCCTCTTCTCTGCAAGTTTACAGAGCTGGATCTCTGACAAAATCTTAATAAAAGCAGTTTAAGCTTTAAGTGTCATGGTGACACATGTTTAAAAAAAAAGGTGGAACTTTTAATGCTGTCAGACTCAGTCTTTTTAGGATCAAACTGAATGCTTTAACATCTGGCAGAAGGATCCCTGTCCCTCTTTGTAAGTGAAGCTTTGTGTTTTGTGTGCGGAGCAGATGTGTGTGCATGTGATGAAGCAGAAGAAGTGCCACTACATTGGGAACTGCTCCTTCGCTCACAGCCTGGAGGAGCGGGACGTTTGGACATACATGAAGAACAACAACTGTGAGTTCAAAGTTCTTCTGTCAGACTTGGAAGTCATTAAAAATGGTTGTCTGAGGTGTCCTTGGTATGTTTGGTGCAGACTGAGGTTCCAATTTTTTATTTAATGTATTTTGCAGCAAATCTTTGTGGTAAAAACTTCAGTTAAATATCAACTTGGTGCAGTAGCATCCAGAAGGCAAAATGGGAGAGAATTATAACGATCCTCTGCTGTGGTGAAAATTATTCATACCAAATGGATCTGAATAATCTTTTGAGTTCATCTTTCCTGTAGATGATCGCTTGCAGCACATCTGCTCAGAGCAGACAGTCAAAAAAGACCCACAGCGTCTCAACTGCTCTCCGACTCACTGACAGGCAGAGGGAGAAGAGAAGATCTGTTGTGTTTTTGTAAAGTTAGAAAAAGAACTCGTCCAATGATGCCATGGCAGTGTGGGAGATGAAGGCATTTGTAGGAATATGTTCCGTCGACCGTGAATCCAGGTGCGCATGGAAGGACTCTGCGTGGCTCACAGTCTGCTCAGGTCTGTGGGGTAAAATGCTAGCATAGCATAGCCTGATGAAGGAAAGCTCCAGCTTTAGCTTCCTGAGGAAGCCAAATGTTTTAGGTTTTACAAAAGATAATAGATTTTTGGCATGTGGTTGAAGAACAGGACCTGGAGGGAAATAAAGACGTCTGTTTTTTCCAGAGACTAGTGGTTCCCAACAGGGGGTACGGGTACCCCTAGTGGTCCGTGAGTGCATTGAAAGGGGTACATGAAAATATGCTGGTGAAGATGTCATCCAGGTCGTAGTCATTCCAGAAAACTTTAAAAACAATCCACTGGACTTTCCCTTTACATCTGAACAGAAGACCTCGCCTATTCAGCCAGGCCAACAATTCCCTTTAACGACACCCGTTTCAGAGACGTAAACAGGTATGAGGTATTGCAGGCTAACAAATGAAGCAAAACGACCTCAATTCCAAATGAGTAGACCGGCTCGTCTGATTCAATTTGCATATTTTGTAAGCAAAAACAAGGCTTTGTTGAGCTGCTGTATAAAGCCTGGAACTCAACGCTATTCCTGACATTTTGAATTGAAAAAGCTTCCTGGATGAGAAGCAAAAGTCTTCAAACTTGGAAACACAGTCCAGTGGATTTAATTTTTTTTTTTTTTTACTTTTTTGGAATGAACATGAAAATGTTTAATTTCTCAGGTAATAAAATAAAATAGGTCTGGGATCTGTTCTCCTTTGTGAGAACCAACAAAAAAATAAAACAAGCTTTTTTCATCCAAAAAGTAAGTTTTGGACTGGATGTAAAGAACAGCCATGGATGATCTGCTTCCCACAACTGATCGAAGCAGCTTAGGTGTCATGAGTGATTAAAAACAAAGTAAAACAAATGGAGTCATTCTGACTATCATTTTTGTTCAGTATTTTGTTCCCAATTCCTCAAGTTTATATGTGGTTACAGAGGAGCTCCAGTTTTATAAATAAAGGTTTATAAGATTATTTTATTTTGTATTTATTTTGATTCTTTACTAACTTCTGGGTAATATATTTGTTTTTTTTATTTGAGTTGGAAAGACTAAAAGGCCTTAGACTGAAATACTCAAATTTAAATATTAAGTAAATAGATTTTATTTTATTATCAGTTATTTTACCTTCCTCTTTTGAGCAGTCGTCAGTACTTTTGACTGAAAGGTGGACTCATGGTAAGACAAAATGCCCAACAAGTTAAAAAAAAAGGTTGGGAAACGCTGTTAATCCCTGAACAAACCGGTTACTACGACTTTTTAATCTCGGATCCAATTTTTTTCCATGTCACACTGACTGCATATAGAGAGGCTCCAACTAGGCAGGGTGAACAGATCTGAGCAGATTCTTTTCACTTCTGTCTCTTTATCAGACCGTCATCTGAATAGAGCATCCTCTTTATTCAGATGGCAATGAAATACCTTTTGTCTTGGGTTTGGTTTAAATGATAACTGTTGTTTAGGTCATTGTTTTTTACTGAGGCAAAAAAGTTAAGAAAATCTTATTTAATTTGAATAATGATAGTAGTTATTTAACCTGTAAGCATTACTAAAATTACTCACAACAAAAGATAGTTTTCACTCCCGTTGAAGCTCGCTGTCGTTTTTGTTTTGAAGAAAATGCGACGGTATAAAAAAGTTTGATTAATTGTATTCCTCTCAAATTGCTTTTTCCTGATTACATTTTCTTCACTTCTGAGGGGCGGCTTTCCTCTGGAGTGAAAATGGGAAGAAGCATTTCTATTGGTCTAAATTCATGTTAGCAAAAATATTCCGAGTGTTCGGATTGAGCTTGAGGCCAGGAAGAGAATGAAAAGAATGCAAATCATGAAAAAAAAAAAAAAATTATCAGAAGAAAACAGCAGCTGATCAAAATTAATTTTCTGAATTTGATATTTTGCAGTTTTCCATTTCCAAACATGCTTTTTGCTGCAACAATAGTGGAACAAAATTCACCCCATAGCCCAGTTATATGATATTAAACATACAATGAATTTATTACTTGGTTTGCTTTTTTACTTACAAGAAAAATACTTTTTTTTTTCTTCAAATACAAGGATTTTTTTTGTTATTTTGACAAATTAAATGATGCACATATCAGGTTTTCCCTAAATCCACTCTAATTGATTTAAACTCCTGTTAACAGCAAGAAAAGGAACTTCTTCTTTCCAATGAAAATGAATTGAAACCCATTGTTTTTTAAAGGTCTTAATCTTGGATATATATATATATATTTTGCAGTGAGAGACATGCAGCAGATGTATGAGCTGTGGCTCCAGCTCACCAATCAGAACAGACGGACGGAAAGCTCCGCTGTGACCCCGCCTCCTGACGACAAGCAGGTCACCATCACAGCCGATTACACAGAAAACCTGGTGAGTGGTTTATAGCACTCAGAACGAGATAATAGATTGAACTAAAGTTGAATTCTGTCTTGTCTTTAGAAATTAGACATAATTTCGAATCTATTTTCCAGCTTTCCTGGTCTGAGTGGTGCATTTTTTATACTTGTAGCAGAGGAGACGTCACAAAGAGTGAGGTTACAGTATAACAGCGCTCAGCCTTTAGTTTAACACAGACCAATTACTTCCTCAATCACCAACATAGATGATTAATTTCTCGCCATAATTAGCTCAGCCAGCAGCACAGACACAACCTCAGTGTGGTTTCCCTGGAGAAAAGTCAGCGAGTGTTTTAATCCGAATAGATCACAGTCGGTCAAAGCTGGAAACCCTAATTAGGAAACATCAAGTTAAGGAAAACCTAGTCTATAACGTGGCTTTCTATGCAGTTTAATTGGGTCCATTATTGATTGGAAAAATCCAAAACCTCCTGAAGCAGACAGTCAAATTGAAGATGTATGTTTGCGTCAAACAAATTTGATTTAGCCCCTTAAACCCGGCGGGCCCGTTCCTGGGTGCAGTTGACACCAGTTGATGTTTATCTGTTTATAGAAATGACCAAAAACAGAGTCACATGGTGTTTCATCCACAATCGTTTCATGTTCAATGGGGCTTTAAAATGTATAAAACATCTTTCAAAACATTTATTCCCGAATACTTTTTGTTTTATAGCTGTGTAAACAAATCAAATGAGATTTAAAATTCCACCTTAAATGCGTGACTCTGGGGGAATAATGCAACAGCAGGTATTAGTTGTTAGCCACACCCCTAATGGCCGGCATTATTGGAAACTAGAGGCTTAGACCTTTCCAAGGAGGGGTCACAGGTAATTATGTGACCATTTCAGGTGATGTAATCGGCATGCGTTAAATAAGCTTGCTCTGTTATTCTTATTTTCTACTCAGTTTGGTGATATTCTTGGTAAATTTCAATGAACCGACGGCTAAATCTTAAGAGCAAAGGCTTTGTCTCATGCAGAAGGTCTCCATTAATGTAAATCAGCATATCTGTCTGGCCAGATTCCCTTTTATGAGTGGAAAAAGTGCATTTTTGCATAATTTGGCCACTTTTGGCAAAATAACATTTCCTCCCAGCACACTGCCCACTAAAACCTTTGTGGAACAAAGATGCTTCAACTTCAGTCTAAATGTATTTGAGTTATAGTCAAGATGTAGATCTATAAAGTCTGAAGGTTCATCCAGAGTTTCATTATGTTTTGCAGTATTTATTTTGGAAAAATGTTTGGCGAAGCTAAAGATTTTTCATTTTTTTCTTGGTTTAATCACCTATAAATCGGACATGGTGACGTTTTAAATAGTGGATCCACCTGAAAAATATTCCTCGATGCCTTTCTGTTACACAAAAACAAACAATTGTATTTCTAATTTATAGTTTCGGTGCTGTACTTTCTTTAATTCAAATATGTGATTTAAGGCACAATTTGCTTCTACGACCCTCTGGCTTAAGGGGTTAATAAAATGTAATCAGCTTTTACCTTAAATTCCTGATTCAGCGATGTATTTTCCTATTTTCTATTTACCTGTAAATAGTCTTTACAGGAATTTTTGTCTGAACTTTTGAGCCTTTTGGCCTGCAAAACTTGGCAACTTCCTTTGGTGTAGTTGGTTCATTTCTCTTCCTTTTTCTTTTTTAAGATGGTTTTATGTGTCATTCCAGGGAGGCCAGCATCTGTCCGATGGTGATGACCTCTGATTGTTACTTTCTGTAAACACATTGGATCATTGCAGACAGAGATGGAGGCGAGCCAACCACGACCGGTTGCAGCCGAAACGCCGATCATCATCCTGCCCTGTCCCCGGCGAGCTGCGAGAAAGCAGACGGGCGCTCAAGATGTTTGAACCCCATGATCACATATTCATCCACTTAAATCTTTACACACAACACACAGACCCACAGGCACTGCTTATCACTAAGAGAAGGCTTTTTAAGTAAGAACAAAAAAATTAGTTTTAGTCATTCTGCAGGAATTTCACAGTTTACTCCCCCAATACTCTTGAGTCTGTGTCCCCCTGCCGCCTTTTTTCTTCTTCTTAGCACTAAAGCGATTCACACCAGGACACGCTGGTCGCTGTCCAGAAATTTGCCACAATAGTTAAAGACGTTGCGCTCTTATTTTTGATGCTGAAACGATACGAGAGCCGAAAATTGCCAAGCTTCCCAGTGCTTCCAAATTCAGCTAGAAACCGTGGAAACTGTAAAAGCGCTGGAAAAAGAGGTTTCAGGTGGACACGCCTCATCAAACTATCAACCAAATCCTACTCTTCCCTTTACAGGAATCATGAAAACTGATTTGAGTTTGAGCGTTTTTGCTTTTGTTTTTTTGTTTTTGTTTGTTTTTTTTTTCCCTCGGGGAGTTACACTTCCTTGTTATATCTGCCATATTGGTAGAAAGTTTTGAATGTAAAGCCTGAACAGGCCTTCAAAACAAGGAAGTGAGTTGTTTAAGATGTTAATGTTGTAGAATGTATGCAGATATCACTCACCTGCCCTGAAATCTGGTGACATGTTAGCTCCATACCAGCTGCTCCTGCAGCGGATCGTCGCCCAGAGCCAAAGCTAAGATCCGTATCAGTTTGACAGACGAGCGAAAGAAAATGACTGAGAAGTTTTAAAGATATTGGTTTCTTTAAGAAAACTTAAAATGTGAATATAACTGAGGTCGGTATAGGAGGAACACAGAAAAGTCACTAATTCAAAATAGTTGATTGTATGAAGAGGAATTTGTTCCAATGTTATTGAAAGAAAGAAGATGTTTCAGAAAAGGAAAAACTTCAACAAAAGGTTTTAAGAGTAATTCATACCTTGTAAGCAAAGGTTTAGCCAATATTTTTAGTTTGCTATTTTTATTTTTTTTTTGCATATTTTATCTTTTCGATATTTTTGCAGGCGACTTAGTTTTATAACTGGCATTCTTTTCAAATCTCGTTTAGATTTCACGCTCTTCACTTCTGGGTAAAGCAGCTTTTCTATTGGTCTGCGAATGTAACCAATAGAAATCAGTCTGCTGTGCGTTGCCATTAGCAACGGCAATTCTATTGGTCCATGGGGACACCACCAGAATGTAGAGGCTGAGATCTGTAAAGAATGCAATAAAACTGGATTCCAAATGAGATCTTTTTTTTAATAATGTGGAGAAAAAAAAGACTGAAACCATGAAACTTAAAGAAATTTTTTTTCAGATAATAAAATTTAAAAAATAAATAAATCTGATTAAATTATTTGGAAAAAAAAAAAGCAAACTAAAAATATTGTTTAAGTTTTTGCATATACTTTATAAATAGAAAACAAAAAAGCAATTTCTCAGATTTTTTATTTTTATTTTTTTTTATGTGTTCTTTGTTTTTAATAATATTGGAACAAATTTCTCTCCGTACTTGGCGTTAGCCTTAAGCTGGAAAAACTTAGGCTACACATAAAACACAATGACCGACGTCTCAATATATAAAGATGATTATTTTTATGTTTGTTGGTAAAAAGTTGAAATATTCAAGTGTTCAGAAACTCTCTCCTGCAACCATCAGTTGGAAATTTAACGTTCTTGATCCGACCCAAATAGTTGGTCCCTGTTAGGTCAGAGGGGCGCCACCGGATCAGTCTTCTTCACCTTCTGGCCCCGAGACATGGACGGATTCACACCGCATAACGTGCCTAAAAGATAAAAAACACACTATCATGTGACACAAACACCCATGCAGAAACGCACATACACCCCACAAAAAAAAACCAGACAGGAAACACGTTGCCATCTTATTTTAGCCTTTTAAAGTAGACCTGAGAAATCATGAGCGTATGTCTTTATTCAGTGACGCGCATATTATACATACATATAATATACATACATACTAATGATAAATGATAACTTAGCAGTTAAGCTTAATAAATATATATAACCTGGAAACTTGTATTGATTACATAGATAAACTTCTTGTTATTGAGGTTTTGCTATATGACATGTATCGCTTAATTAGATGATTATAGTATCTTTTTTTTATTATGATTTTATTTTAAGATTTTCTTTTCAGTAAGTGTGGGTTGTTCCAGACAGGGTGGATGGACCAGATTTCAAAATAAAAGCATAGATGGTTTACACTGCGACTAGAGATCAAGAGATCGCGTAACTTTATTTTGATATCTATATATAATATAAATAATTAGTATAAAAGTTGATTTCAGAATGAAATAAACTGATTGTGGAGATTTGGTTTAAGGGTTAAAGTTGAAAGATGAGCGGCAGGTTCATGTTAGTTGTTTATCCGGCCTTTGTCTGGAACAGCCCAGGTGTTAGCTTCTTTAAGAGATCGTATTACTATCACTCCTAGTATTATGATGAATATGATGACTATAATAATTGCTATCTATTGACTATTCCTATTTTTCTTCTATATGCTATTGATATATGTATGTTAATTGCAATGTATACCTTTCTCTTTATATATGTATCCATGTACGAATATAATTGACAGTAATTGCGCCTCAGTGTGCTGATGGACACAGAGGCTTGTATACTCCCACATAGCGCCTTATTCATTATACTACACCTATAAGATACATACATAGCCCTATTGTATAATCGTACTCACTATAAGCAGTATATGATACCTGATAACCTATGATGATACTTAGACATCCTTTATGAGGTGTTTTAGATAAGAAACAGTGGCCTGTCTTCATTTCTTTTCTCTGTGGCTGTGAAATATGTGCGGTGATCAGAAATTGATTTTTCTTTCAAAGTTAAAAAGCTCTGAGCCACGCCCCCCAAACGCTCCTCATCTTCTTATTTCAGCTCCACTTCATTTGTTTAACGCCACTTCCCGCCGTAGCGGTGAGCAGGAACTTTGCCAACGGTCATCTTAAAGTCCCAGTAGTTGAATTAAAAAAAGAAATGTAACGCATTGTCTGTGTGACAGTACAGGAAGTTTTGTTTTGGATCTAAGTTTAAATTTCAACCTTTTTTAAAAAAAAAAAAAAAAGAGAAAGAGAAAAAAAAAGCTAATAAAAACTAAAAATGAAGCTGAGTGTTCTCTTCTATCTTGGTGAAATGCCTGAAATGATTGTGATACTCTGGACGTCACTCGTGTCTCATTCTGAGTGTGATGTTATTTTTGAAGGCGTGTGGATCATGACAAACTTTTAACCCTTTATAAGGCTCTTTGTTAAGCTAAAGTATTATTAGAATCCAGGACAAGACTTTATTACCTTTTGCAACATTAAAAAAAATATGGATATTTTGATGGCAAAAATGAATATCAATGTAATAACAAACGGCAACTTGCCTGAATATATTAATAAAAACAACAAAAGTGCTTCTATAAGAAGTTCGTGAAAAACACAAGAGCTTTGAGCATAACCTTAGAGGCATTAATGCTGATACTGGCACTTTTTTTTATTTTATAAACCTAAATATAAATGTTAACTAAGCTTATTAACTTTTTAACTTTACTTTCAATCAGCTTTTTACCTTTTTTTTTTTCTTCACTTAACTTTTTTTCAACTCTTTAAAAAAAATTCAAGGGCTCATCTAATTGGTCAAACGCCAAAATAAGATGTACAGCCATGTAGCAGCATCTTTGCTAAATGGATGGATATAGATCTTGTGCTTCTAGACCTCACTGAGGGACGGGGGGGCTCCATTTGTAAGGGGTATGCAAGTGATTAAAAACAGGCGTGTTGATGGAAGTTTTCTAATTCTTCGTTCTTAGCTTGCTCCCTGTCAAAATCTGTTTCGGGGAAATTTTAAATGTTCTGGTTTATTCTAACAAAAAGCTTTTCATTCTGGTTCGACGATCAGTTCTGGTTCACACGCCTCACTGCTGTCAAATTACACAGATTCACTTCTCCACATGTGACTCAATAGCCTCTTTTCATCGCATTCCTCTCCCTCTGGTTCTCTGCACCAACAAGCACCTCTAAGCCAAGAAACACGTTCTTCGGCAGGTTATCAGGGTAATTTAGTCGCTTTTGTGTAAAACTTAACTGAAGAAAACAGGATGTGAGAAGGTGGGGAGGTGAAGACATTTTTTTTTTCCTTTTTGAAGATAAAAAGACATTGACGCACTCCAGAACTGTCATCTCTGTCTAATCTAGATGTGAAGTAAAAGGAAAAAATAACTGCTTTGTTTTTCTTTTTATTAGATAAATCTAAAAAATATTCCATCCTTGGCTGCAAAGGTTAATAATGATTATCCTTTTAGATCTGGACTTTGCTCCGTTGTGAGACAGGAATGTGCTGAAAGTGGGAAACATCTAAAACACGCAGGGTAGGGTTGGAAAAACACTGGTTTATGATCACTGTGCTGCTAAAAGAACCTCCACTGCTTTTCTGCATCTACTGAATGAGAAAATAATCCCACAGTATGAGGCCCTGGTGTTTGGTTTATTCTGCTTGGGCTGCAGTGTTTTTTTTGTTTTGTTTTTTCCCACTTTTTTAATTTCTTTTGAAAAAGTTATATATGTTAATTGTTATTGCAGTCTGATGACGAGGGTGCTTAAGGGTCCATGATTTTCATTTTCTCATGATTTATTGTTTGCCTCTTAACTGATTGATGCTCTCCTTGCCCAGCATGATGAGCCTCGATAAATGTTTTCACAGATGTGGATTCATGCTGATCTAACCTTTACTTTCATAGACCTTTCACTAATTAAGTGACCCCTGATGGAGGTCAGTTGGGATTTAATTTAGGGGAATCGGTGTAAAGATGGCTGAAATTTAAAAAAAGGAATACTCGGAATGAAAGTTTGAAAACTTTTCCAATTAAATTGTCGTTTTGAGAGTAACTTTGATCTTTTCTTTGATTTAATTTTTTTGGAAAAAAAGTCAAATTTTCTTTTTTTTTTTTAAGTAGATTTCTTTTTTTTTTTACAAACTGCATTGTTTCACATAACACTTTTCTATAGTGTAGTATATATGGTATGGTGGAGGATGTTCTTTTTCTGGGTGGATCATCTCAATAAGTGGTCCTCATAATTGTCAATCATTCTTGTGATATGTTTACGTAAGGCCGTCCTACGTCCCCGTCCCCATTTTAGCTTACTGGCGGTGAGTGACAGTGGAAAATAAGCTTTTTGTGACTGATGCAAACAGCAACTTTTAAACAGAACCGTGCACGAGGAGTAACTGGCTCGTGTACGCTTTTAATCGGTGTTCCCTCTCAGGAGCGGTGTTCTGTCAGATGAACATACCCAGTCAGACCAATACCCATTTATCTCTTCAGTTCTGCATGAAAAGTATACTTTAAAATACCTCAACAGCCATGTATCCAATTAATCATGTACCAAAAAATGATTTAATTACTTAATCTTTGAAGCATATGGCGATCTGACCTTAAATATTTTTTGTTTTTGTACCGGACTAAAGGGATACATGCAAATCTGAGGCCTTGCACATGTGTATTGACTATAGGTATTTGGTCATACAGAACAGTGGGTACAGGGCCATGCATGTGCATTTTTTTTAAGTTTAAAGGGTGGCTTATTTCAAAAAGTTCCAGAAGATCAAAGGCTGACCAATAGAAGTGCATCCATGCTCCTCACTCCAGAGGAAAGCCCGCCCTGAGAAGTCAAGAATTTTTTTCTTTTAAATGCAATTTAAATAGAATGTAAGTCATAAAGCTAAATATATGTAGCCTATATTATTTTTATATTTATTTAATGTGAAACAACTGTTTATTCTGATAACGTATTCTACAAACAGATTTTTTTTTTTTTTTTTACAAGACAATTATTCTGCCAAATATTTCTGCAGGTGTAAGCTTGAGTGTATGGACCCTGTCTGAACCCGCTCTGTAAGCTGTAGGAGTCAAATTTAGCCTGGAGGAGTTTGAACCTCTGTTTCTGCCTGTAAA